AAGAAAATTCAAATATTCAACCATTAATGTAAAAACCATGAAATTAAAATGAGGAAGAAACTTGGGAAAGGTGAAAATTCTATTTTAAATACTATGAACAAGATTTAAATTTTAAAATTATTTTATTGTCTCTGGGTGACATTTTCATTTATAGTGACATTCATATACACATACATATACGAGGTGTGCATATGTGAGATGTGTTCCTTGGAGCCTTAGATAAATCCCATATTTCCACTATTAATTCATTTGCAACTAAAGCAGCATACAGGTAAATTTGAAACGTTCCTTTTGATAATTTCTGTTATTTGGGAGAAATCCTTGGGAATCATCCTAAAGATGTATAAATTTCGGTATGATCTTACTCTGCAATGAGACTAAAACTATCACAATGTGTGATAATTTAAACATGTATTTTTAATGGTTATTGACAAAGTTTAATGGCATCAAAAATACTCAAGTCTATGTGGATTTTATTTTCATTGTTCCCCCACCCCGGATTCTTTTCTTCCTTAAAAGCACAAAGGATCCTGTGCAAATACAGAGCCTTTGTTGTTAATTGGCTATACTTTGGTACGTTGCTTAATCTATTATTCCTTAATCTAGCAGCATCCTTAGTTTATAGTATTTTACTTAGCGGCAACTGAGAAAATAACTAGCCTAGGCTTTAACTGGGAACTTCTGTAATCCAGGTTATTGTGAATCTGTCAGAAAGCTGGTAAGCAACCAAAAGAGCTGTCTCAAAGACTGCACAACCAGGGCTTATGCAGCTCTTTAGACACCAAGCAAGCTTGGTCATCTCGTGTCCCAGCTCATAACAGATGAACACAGCACATCAGATAGAGCCTGTTAGAGGCGGGCATATGGATACTGTGGTAGGAGACAGAACAAACTACTTAGCAGATAGAAAAAAATTTTTAATGAAAAAAACACCAGCAACCGGAGGCAAATGATTATATATACCTCGGGGCTGAGGGAATCACCTTATAATAATTGATACTAACTCATAATTTTATAGCCCTTTACATTTTATGAAGTATTTTACATACATCAGAGCTAATTGGATATCTGTAATAACACATGAATATAACTTTTACTTTTCATCATGAAAAAGTGAATTATGCTGAGCATGCTGTTTAAGAAGGCAGGAAGGTATACTAACATTATTTGAAAGACTTACATCAAAAATAATTATAGGTTTAAAATTTTGGCACTTAAGAGATATGCATTAGTTATCCAAAAATTCATATACTGTATATGCTTTCTTTTATGACCAACACAGGCTATTACTGAGTGAATTTTCATAACTCTCCATGGCTGCTGGTCATTAAATGGGGATGATTGTCATCAGTGTTATCAGACTAACACTTATTCTCCTGCTAAACACAAGCTTTAACAGATACTTACGGATGCCAATACCATATAGTCTGACTAATGGCAGAAACATAGGCTTCTAAAAGGTTCTCAGGGTGTTTTTCCTATATTGCACTTTCTAGAAAACAAAACTTTAACCATGATATAATGTGATCTTGGTTCTAGACACAGGCGTGGGGAACCTTTTCCTTGTCTTCCTAAAATTTTTGGTATAGCCTCATCTCGGATGTAACAAGGAAAAAGAAAATACACATGTTCTTTGGGCTTCTGTGAAAAAAAGATCATGTTTTCAAAAGATTAAGATAGGGGTCTCGTCTGCTTTAGCCACTTCATTTTCATAATTAAAGATAAGAAACTACTAAATATTTGATGTTCCCAAACTTATTCAACAACACTGCCATTAACATACTGTTGTGTAGAAAACTTTTTCAAGATTTTTTTTTTAAGTGCAATCAACCCCCACCAAGGTGGGGCTCAAACTCATGACCCTAAGATCACAAATCGCATGCTCCACCAACTGAGCCAGTCAGGTGCCCCTGTAGAAAGCTTTTTAAAACAAGTATAATTTATACTGTTTAGCAACAATTATACCACATTACCAATTATAATACACTCACCAATTATCATGAATAAAAATGACTAAATTTAGAGTGAAAAACACCAGATTGGATTTTATACTCTGAAGTGAAATGAGATCTTGAAATTGTAAGCCGCAGTTTCCTCCAAGAGTCTAGCATTCCTGATGCCCTGTAATTCCCAGATTAATATCCCCCTCATGACTTGTTGATCACGACTGTTCCTCAAAGAGGACAAAGATTGTTTTGTTGCGTTTGCTGGCTAATTTTTAGTTCTCATCCGTGGCTCTATTTTTATACAAGGCTGTTTACATTTTCCTTTACTTCACAGCTACTTAACGTGCTTGCAGTTTTCCAGTTAGGAATGGACTGTATGTATGTACGCCCTGCGTTTTATGGTATTAATTCTAATGGAAATTTCCAGTCTTGCAAATGTTCTCTTACATGGTGCAGAAGGTAAGCCAGCTCTGTAGTTTACCAGCCAGCTCAGGCTAGTTGCCCATCCTTTACAAACAAAAGGGCAAAATGGCAGAATAGTAAGCAGGATTTGGATTAAAACAGACCCGGGTTTGAATCCTAGCATTGCCACCCGATGCCAGCTCTGTGACTTAAGGGAAATCACTTAACCTTTCTGACCCTCCATTTCCTCCCAAGTCAATTGGTGATCATGTCACCCACCTTGCAAGGTATTTGGCGGGGGGGGGGGGGGGGGGGGGGGGGGGGGGTTGGTAGTAGAGTGTGGGCATTATTTGACACAACAGAAACTCTCTAATGGTTGAAGAATCCTGGACTGAAATTCAGAGCTGGGTGACATGTGAGTCCATGACATGCAACTCTCTCCAAAAGAGATGCAATTTATGGAACCTTTTTAAAAAATTAATGTAATTGTACTTAGTAGCTGATTCTTAATGTTAACATTGGGTGCTTTTGCCTCCAAAATTTTATTTTCCTTTAAATATGTAGGTGTGTTGTTTTTTTTTTAAAGTTTATGGCAAACCTATGTTTTCATTGTACTTTGCGGTACTTTTCTTGCTGGCTAAAAAATTCCAATTAGTTTAACATCCATGGTGAAATGATGTAATTTTACAATCTGTCCTAGAGACAACATTGTTCCAAGTGAGATGTAAGCTCCGTCCACTTGTGTACATGGCTGTCTGGTGGGTCCTACAAAGAAATGTCAGTTTTATTCATGTATTTGGGTTGGTTTGACATTTCTATAAGATTTAAGATACTTTTCTTCTTACGGCTGGAATTCTCAGCATCTACTTCCACACCTTTTTCAATCTATTGACCAGTTTAAGGGTAGTCACAGAAATACAACTTAAAGACAAAGTGTTCATAAATCATTGACTTAACAGCCAGCAGAATACAGTAGAAATTGCCCTGAGCAAGGAGTTAGGAGACTTGAATTCAAGTTCTGGCTCTGCCACTGATTTTATCAGATGACTTTAGGCAAGTCACTTAACTTTTCTCATTCATCCAATGAGATCAAATAATGAGACTGACTGCATTTTCTACCTCTAAAATTGGTTTCATCTACCTACAATTTTAATCAAAACACCTTTTGGGAGTCAAGCACCTGAGAGGTACAGAAATACTAATGTTTAAGGTAGTGCTTTGCAAACTCTGGCCCAGGGACCACCTAAAGATTACTTGAGGTGCCTGTTAAAAATATAGATTCCTGTCCTCTCCCTGGCTCAATCAGAACCTCCTACGATAAGGGCCAGGTTTCTATGTTCTGCACAAGCTCCTCAGTGATTGTAATGCACCCTGATGTTTGAGAACCACTGGCCTAAGAGAATGTGATCTGAGAGGGAAAGAGCTAGCATGTGGCTTCAATTGATCCGGCCTCTGGCAGATCCCTTCTAAACAGAATACCACCCAAAGTGGAGACTAGAAGAAAGCTGCTTACTTCAGCAGAGCAGTCAGCCCTGTGACTGTCCCCTGCTTGATCCTTTTTACTTGCTGTGTTCCATAACCAAACACAGGAGGTCTTCGTGTTGGCTCTTTGCTTTGACATCCAAGTAACTGACTACTGTAGTTAGGACAAGGCTTGAGAGGACTGCAGCTCCCCACTCCCCGATGCTAAGGGGGCTGAGCTTGTGCCACCGGGTTCAAGGAATAAAGAGTAAAACACAACCTCTATACTCTCAATCCCCCCCACCCCGATACTATAACTTGTCACCCTGAGTGAGTCCAATTGTCTGGCAGAGAAAACAGAAACTCTGAGCCACACTGTTCTCATCGCTCTGTGACCAGGTAGTGTACTAACCTAATGAATCCTCTTTTATGTAGCAGAAATGACCAAAGCCCATTCCTTCTCTTTTCCTTTCTAAATGTTTTTGACAGGAACAAAGTACCGAGTAAGGACACATGCTAGAGATTTTTAAATTCGTACAAGTAAATTACAAAGAGAGGTGGTAATTATTTTTTCCAGAATTTCACAACAAAATTCCCCTACGGTGAAAAAATACGTATAATTTTAACAGGAAACTTAAAAGACAGTTTGTTGTAAGACTAACAGTTATGAGAATAATGCCATTATCTGTGCTCATTATAGAGAAACATAACAGCAACTTTAAAAGGCCAAAGTATACTCAGTGAAGATGGAATTTCTTTTTCAATGACCAGGATGCTGACATCAAACTTCTGGGTTTTATTCAACACTAGTGTCACGGGTTTCTCCTAACCCAGCCCAAACTCCTGCCAGACGTCCACGAAACTCACACCAAAATCCAAAAAAAAACAAGGAAAGAAGAGAAACCTGACAAGAGCTACCATGCAAAAGAAGCAGAACGGAATTTCAGGCGGCACAGGTGAGCAGGAGCAGAGGAATGCGGCAAAAGATGCTGCTGCAGGGAGTCTACCTTGGCGAGGACCCTGCGATGCTGGACGACCAAGTACTCAGGTCACAGGTGTGTTCATGGACCCATAAGAACTGGGATCTTGACCCAAACTTTCAAGATCTTCTAAAAAGAAAATACTTCACCTGAATTGAAGTAATTCATAAGTCAAACACCAGAAGAGTTCCTTATTTGATGTAAGTTGTGCCTAAAACTTTGGCTGATACAAAGAAACCCGTCCACTAAGGCACCCTGAGGCAATCTGACAATGTGTTGGAGAGAACTTTGTCGTCAGTACCACATCATTATGAGAGTACAGAGAACGGATCACCCGCAGGGGACTGGCTTCTTTGGGCAAACAGTCAATAAGTTCACTGCACTGTTTGTCAAATCCCAACAAGCGAATCCCGTAGCCGTGTGGGGAAGAAATCATCCGCCCATCAGGGCTGAAGCAAAGTTCTTTGATATAACCCCTGCCTACGTTGGCTTCTTCAATGTAATGAGTTAGTCGTAGAGAACAGCGAGGGGAGACAGGTCGCACGGGAGCTCCTTCTTGGAATTCATAGACACAAGTCCACTGGGGGAGAGAAGAGAAACAAACCAAAGTTACAGAGCCCCAAATAATGCTAGATATTTCTTTTTGTAAAAAGCTCAAAAGACTGCCGAATTCACAAAATCTTTGCAAGAAATCATTCAGATGAGTGTACTGCTCTCCCAGTTAAAAAATGTGCAGGCCCCATTCCTTCTTATCGTCATAAGCGAAGTCATATGGCATGTTAAAGCCTGTTATTCCCTCAGGCTGGTGGGACTTCTGTGGTAATAATTCCCTTTTGTGAGAGTAACAACAATCTCTTGATATTTAAAAAATTACACAGTTTAGACACCTAAGCCCTAAAATATAAAATACATCTCGTCCTACACACTTCAAAGGCTCTTATCCTTTCATTCAGTTGTGACTTCCTCAAAAGACTCCTGCTTTCCAGAGAGTCATGAGGTCCTAGAAGGTCTTTTCCCTTAGTCATCGGTTTAGTCCTTTCCCAGTTTCCCCTGGTTTTTAAAAAGAGCAAATTATAATACTCAACTGACTTAGCAAAACCTTATATTTAGCTAGCTTGGCTACCTTAGTAGTCTCCTTCTAAGGTTTCCTATGTAAGAGGATCTGTGACGAGATGAAGGGGGCAAGGATTCAGAAGCTGGGCACAATCTGAGCTGATACTGCTTTAAAGTATTTCCCAGTCTGCCACAGACACTGGAGAGGAGGAGGGAGGGGTTCAAGGTACAAACACACCATGAGCACACACGGCCGTGACTGTTCGCTCAGGCAACCCCACTGGAAGGTGGCGTGCTGCCGCTCCTACCTCCTGGTCGTCAGTGTTGCTTGAGCACCGAAGGAGTGTGGCCCAGCCTTTCGGGTGCAGCTGTAAGGATGTGATGCAGTTTCCACGGTCTCTCTCACCAGGAACTTCTGGGGTTAAGACTTCAAGACTATTTCGTGGTGAAACTCCTGATAAGAAAGTTAGGATGTGAGATTTGTATTATCAAAGGACTGAGGCAGCCCATCAAAGCTTTGATTTCTGGCTGCCACCCCTGCCCCGGCCTTCATTCCTTTGTCAGTCCCTTGTGCTACCACATGTAAAAGAAAACAAAAACAAAAACTATGGTGCCCCTCAGTGTATGGGGAAAAGGTACGAGTAGAACTAAAGAATCCAAGTTCCCGCAGCAGGAATCAGTGACCTAAGACTAAGGCCTTAAAGCTGACTAGAGGTCCTTTTGATTAGAATCTACATCTCAGAAAACTCTTTAAGAATCAAAGTTATGTCGGGGCGCCTGGGTGGCTCAGTCGGTTGAGCATCCGACTTCAGCTCAGGCCATGATCTCACGGTTTCTGAGTTCAAGCCCTGCATCGGGCCCTGTGCTGACAGCTCAGAGCCTGGAGCCTGCTTCGGATTCTGTGTCTCCCTCTCTCTGCCCTTCCCCCACTCACACTCTGTCTCTCTCAAAGGTGAATAAACGTTAAAAGAGATAATAAAAAAAAAAAAAATGTCATATGAAAGGAATCTGGAAAAGTAAAAGGTAATTCTCATCCTCAAAGGAAGTGCTCTCTAGTCCAGAGAAGGAAATAATTGGAAGCTATGAAGGCTGCCTTTAATATAAATAAAGGCTATTATGTGTGCAAGGAGCAGGACTTCCGGTCCCCAAGGACAATACTCTAAACGACAAACAGACCTATAATTTTAGAGGTGAGGAAGAATATTTCACATACAAGGGGCAGGGAGACCTCGCAGTCATACATATGCCCCGCACTCTGTTATGGCCCCTCACGTCCTTCTGCCCAGCGCCCAATAAAAGTGGTGCAGTCAGTCATTACTAACAGGAGTTCTGTCCTCTCCCTCAGGTATGTGGAGAACCACTTTCATACACATTATAAAGAAAGCAGTTTAGAAATTTAATATCAAGAGAAAGATTTCCACACTTCTCTACCTGTGGAAGGAGCTGCTTCGAGGATTATGAGCTCCCTCTGTCAGACCCTTTGTAAATTGTTTTTCAAATGCGTTATCTTCTTTAAAAGATTCCCTTTAGATTACTACAGCATTGATGGAAACCTGTGAAGCTCTAAATTACATTGTTACAACCAAACTATACCCAAATAATGATTTCACATGTGACTGAACTTTAATAACAATTTTAGAGAAAAATAACTATTCGAGAATCAATTTTGAAAATCTAACAAATGCAGAAAAGAAACCCATCTAAATAGGTAAGTAGTGGTTTTTGAGCTGTGCTCTTTGGAGGTTCCTCCAGAGCTGGCAAAAGGAGGGAACCGCGTGGGGAAGAGGTAGGGAAGACTGGTCAAGGACCTCCTTAATTTCGCCAGAGTGTCTGCACTTTATGCTACAATCTACAGCAGATTTCACGTCAAAAATAGAGTTCTAGAGGTGCCTGGCTGGCTCGGTTGGTTACCATCTGACTCTTGATCTCGGGCTCCTGAGTTCAAGCCCAACGCTGGGTACAGAGATCACTTTAAAAAAAGAAAAGTTCTAATCCTGAAATGAGTTTGAGAGCCTCCGTTCCATATAGCTACTGTGTCTTGCCAAAGTATGGTGCTAACATATCCTGACGCCCTGAAGACGCAGGATTGCCAACATTCAGAGCACCCTTATGTATGAGCCCCACCTTCTTCTCTGTGCTGTGTCTAGGCTCTCTGTACACCGTCTCTTCTCCAGTTGCCAACTTTATATCATGAAACTGCTGTGTGGTTTGGTTTTTGGGGTTACCACTTCAACAAACAACCATGTTAACTATTCTTGAGTTTCTTTTTCTCATGGATGGTTCAATCAATAAAGATTTTTCTCAATGATTATTAAGAGCCTTAGCTTGTTTTCCATAGCCACAGTAGAAGAACAGGTAGAACTGATACAGTAAGTTTCAAATCAAAAATATTTCACATCTGGGCATAAATCTCTAAATTTAACAGGAATTTTTAACCTTAAACATCACAGTCTTGAATATGTGGAGAAAAGTAGATAGGCTCTAGGTTTAGGAAGGGCTCTCAAACCAGTCTACAAACAAGTAGTCATGCAAAATAATCAAGTATGCAATTATCAAGCATTACCAGGGAGGCTGCCCAGGGAAAACACAAAATAGAGGTCTAATGGATAGTCCCTCCCCTAAAGGTCTAGAAAGAAGCCATGCTCTTCTCCAAAAGGTGACCCAAAATTACAAAAACAAAACCCCCACCTCACATTTGGCCATCGGTCCACAAGGAGGAGGACAAACAAAAAGTGCTGTAACAGCTTAGATGTGAACTGGGATGGAGAGGTAGGTGAAGTCTGCATAGGTAGTAGAAAGCACTTCCCACAGGGAGTGGAAAGAATAGGCTATATAGCTAGTTCTGCCAGAGCGGTGGGAGAAAACTGGCAAAAGCAGAGTGGGGACAGATTGTATCCCACAATCCCTCTAAGGCTATCAGGTGCTGCTCAGATAAAGAAATGGCAGAGCAAAAAGGCTACTGGGCTGGAACCAAGCAATTTTCACAAGCACCTGACAAGTCACTACTTCATATTTATACAGGACCATAACATGCATAATCTCATTTAATTGCCATAAAAACTTTGATTGCAATCTACATGTCCTACCTACTTTTTCTCCAATTTAGACCAAACTAAGTCCAGTAAATAAAACCAAAGCTCAAATTCCAACAAAGATTTAAGCCCAAGATACTCAACCCTAGAGACTCTGGTTAGACTTTTGAAAATGACTGAGGGACAGAGAATAACCTCTTCTTTATTGGCTTTTGTTTGTATGGATTAAAACTAAACTAAAGAAAGCTATTTGGTAGAATCTGTTGTAAATTATAAAATCCAACTGTTAACCTACCTTCTCTTTGTGAGGCTCGTGACATGTGTTTCTCAGAAGATGAATTAGAATCACTATGATGACAAGGTGAACCAGAAACTCTAGGACCAGATGAACCTGAAGTGGTCAGATCTTGAAAATACAAAAAGCTGACAATAAACTTAGCAAAACTTAATGTCTCTTAACTTTTTAATCATTTAGTTGAAGCATACTGTTAAAGTCCATCTGAAACCTGGCAAGTACATGCCCACGTACAGCTGGCCTATAAGACTGAGGTAGGGAGGGCAGCTCTTTGAAGTGTTCTAAGGCCTGGCCCCTTTCTAAAATCTCTTCTACCGGGGCAGCTGGGGGGCTCAAGTCAGTCGAGCATCCAGCTCTTGATTTCAGCTCAGGTCATATTTCACGAACTGTGAGCATGGAACCTGCTTGGGATTCTCTCCCTTGTTCTGACCCTCCCCTGCTCATGCACGCTTTCTCTCTCAAAATAAATAAACATTAAAAAATAAGATCTCAGGGGCACCTGGGTGGCTCAGTTGGTTAAGTGTCCGACTTTGGCTCAGGTCATGATCTCACGGCTTGAGTTCGATCCCTGCATCAGGTTCTGTGCTGACAGCTTGGAGCCTGGAGCCTGCTTCGGATCCTCTGTCCCTCTCTCTCTGCCCCTACCCTGCTCGCTCGCTCTCAAAAATAAAAACATTAGAAAATAATAAAAAATAAAATCTCTTCTACCAATGACTTAAGTGGAATAAAAATGACACACCAAACAAACATAGGAGCATCTTTGGGTTGCCCATCATTTCTGTAGTAAAATAGAACAAGAAAATTCAATAAACACGAGAATGGAGGAGTTCAACCTGTTTATTTAATCTTAGAATAGAGTCCAAACACCAAGTCCATTACTGAGAACATTAAATGATCCTTCTTAAGCATGCCAAAAAATTCGAAAATCATTCTGGAAATTATGTGAATACTATCTTTGAAATGCAATACAAACTCTATACTGAAATCTGTAGAAAAATCCTCAGATGGTTGGGTCTGATGTATTCCTCCAAATAGCAATCTATTTCATCACACTCTTCTAGTGGCCCCACACTTTCATGAAGACTTCTTAATCTAATTCCCTTTGAGGTTATTATCAGAATTAACCTTAGAAGACAAAACATTCTTGGTTTTTGAATTAAAAAAAATACCAACTAGACCTTCTAAAATCACTACTTCTCACTAAGCTGATTACTAATGTTTAACCTAAAAATAAATTTCTGAATGTAAAAGGACTCTACTCACATATTTAGGAAATGCCTTGCTTTACAAATACGTTGGTAAAACTTAAATTTCTACTTTTAGCAGTAAATTGGGCAAATGCAGTATAATGAGGCCTGCATAATCCCAAAGGAATCTTCAAAGGTGGCCCTATATAGACAAGAGAAAGAGTCCAACCATCTGAAGCCAATTTTAAATAGCAATTTATAAATAAACATTATGTGTTCCAAATGCTTACGTCTGGGTAAACACAAAATTATGTTCCTGGAACAGCCCTCTTCTTCCCAAAGGTGATGAAATATAGTGTCTATCATATAAAATGTAGATGAATTATGGTGCATAAGTTTTTCTGAGCCCCAATTTCACTGAAGTCTAATGGAATCAGCAACAGGAAAAATAGGGCTTTAGCAAGAGGGTATTTAGGGGCTGTGAAATAGGATGGCACCAGCTACCTGGGTATGGACATCTTATAGTCTAGGATATAATAGAGACTTAAAATTCTATATTGAATATATCTTTTTCTTAAGGTTTATTTATTTTTGAGAAAGACAGAGTGCAAGCATGGGAGAAGTAGAGAGAGAAGGAGACTCAGGATCCGAAGCAAGCTCCAGGCTCTGAGCTGTCAGCACAGAGCCTGATACAGGGCTGGAACCCATGAACCGCGAGACCATGACCTGAGCCAAAGTCAGATGCTTACCCAACTGAGCCACCCAGGTGCCCCATATATTGAATATATCTTAAAAGCTCTGCTGGGTTCCAGAAGGACTTAAAAAGATTGATACTACCTTGGGCTACCACTGATTTTTGAGGTAGTGATGATTTAGATAATTGATGAAAGATTTCTGGATAGCATAGCTAAAAGGAAGTATTTTTAGAGTTAGTTCTTTGCCCTAGATCATTTGTGATACAGAAGCATTGATTTATGCTATGTCAGAGATTTATATAGGTCATACTTCCTTGGGAAAAAAGCTCTCACTGGGCTTTCCAAAAAATATCTTCTAATTTTCTTCCCTTTCTCCTGCTATCATTCTCAGAATGGAAACATATGCCATCCCTTTGTGTGAGATTCTTTGGAAAACTTTCTTTGATCAAAAAAGAAAAGCTTACCTGAACTTGATGTAGTTCTTCTTGCTCTCAAAATAGGATAGCTGCCTACTTCTAAAGACTTGGTTAAGTCAAGATCATGCAAAATCAAGAGATATCCAGAGGACGTTGAGATCAACATTTTCGAACAATCTGGTGTTAATCTCATTCTCATGAGAAAACGTGTGTGAAAGAATTTCTTATGTGGACACCCATCTTCTGTACACCTACAGAAGAAATCAAACCAACAAAACCTAGAATTATCATAAATATAAGGATTTGGTTGATAGTCATAATTCTGAACGTCCAACTAGAATTTACAGTCAATTTGTACTTAGCTTTACGGACATTAACAATTAACAAATTTGGTTGTTTTGCTCATCATTCCTTCTTTCATCTCCAACTTTCCATTTTATTCTTTCTTTCTGAAGTGCGTGTGTGTGTATATATATATATATTTTTTTTAATTTTAATTTTTTCTGAGAGAGTGAGTGAGCAGAGAAGGGGAGAGGGGGAGGGGGAGAGAGAGAATCTTAAGCAGGTTCCACACCCAGCATGGAGCCTGATGTGGGAGTCGAGCTCACGACTGTGAGATCATGACCTAAGCTGAAATCAAGAGTTGGACACTTAACTGAGCCACCCAGGCAACCCCTGAAGTATATATTTTTAGGTAAGACTTTGTTGAGGTAAACTCTCACTTTATGTTGTTCTGAAAATCTGTATTTCCCTCTTTATGGAGGAGAAATTTCCCTCTTTATGCCTGGAAGAGACAGGCAGAGGGAGAGAGAGAATCTCAAGCAGGTTCCATGCTCAGTACAGAGTCTGACACAGGGCTTGATCCCACAACCCTGGGATTGTGACCTGAGCCAAAATCAAGAGCTGGACACTCAACCGAACTGAACCACCCAGGCACCCCTACTCTTCTTTTATGATTAAAGATTTAGCTGAGTACACAACTTCAGTTATGTACTCAGCTATGTACTTCAATTCTTTCTGACTACTGGGGATAATATTCCACTGAATTCTGGCTTCCTAACCCTAACCCTGTTGTTATTTGTAGGTGCTATTAGTCAATTGTTTATTTGGATATTTCCCCCTTTGGGCTTACCTTCTCTTTGTCTTTGGAGTACTGCAGCTTCACTCTGATATGTCTAAATTTGGATTTCTACTGTATTGGGATTCATTTGACCTTCTAAATTGTAAGATTAATATCCATTTATTCTGGGAAATTATCCATTATTATTCCAGTATTGCCTCTTACCTATTTTCTCTATTCTTTTGGGGCTCCAAATAGATGTTTGAAACATTCACATTTGACTCTCCTGGTCTCATAACTGCTCTTTCATGTATTCTATCTCATTTCTGTTGCATTCTGGATGATTTTTCAGTATCTATCTTCCAATCTGTTTTTTAAAGTTGTGTCTAATCTGTGACCTGACCCATCCTGGTTTTTAAAAAGTTTTTCAATTACCGGGGCGCCTGGGTGGGTTAGTCAGTTGTCTGACTTCAGCTCAGGTCATGATCTCACGGTTCTTGAGTTGAAGCCCCCCTTGGGCTCTCTGCTGTCGGCGCAGGGCCTGCTTTGGATCCTGTCTCCCTTTCTCTCTCTCTGCCCCTCCCCTGCTTGAGCACTTGGCTCTTTCTCTCAAAAATAAGCAAACATTAAAAATTTTTTTCTTAATTACTAAAAACTATATGCTTAAAATTTTTTTAAATGTTTGTTGTAATGATTAGGAACACTACTGATTTTTACATTTTGATCTTAACTCTTGCAATCTTGGTTGGTTAACTCTTACTAATTCTGATAATTTGTCAGAATTTCTAAGGTTTTCTATATAGACCAGGGGTCAGAAAACTGGTCTATGGGCCAAGTCTGGATTATTGCTTGTTTTTGTATAGAAAGTTTGTTGGAACACAGCAATATTCATTTATGTATTGTCTATGGCTGCTCAGAAACCACATAGCACACAAAGCCTAAAATATTTATTGCACAATCCTTTACAGAAAGCTTACCAACCCTTCATACAGACAAATATCATCTGTGAATGCTGTTTTTTCAATTGTTCCTTTCCAATCCTTATATATTTATTACACTGCACCAAGTAGGACTCTGCCTACAACCACCCCAAAACAATGGTAAACAATAGCAGTAACAGCAGGCATGTTCTTCTTTAAAGCAAGCTCTACATTCAATGTCAGGCTTGAACTCTTGACCCCAAGATCAAGAGTTGCATGCTATACCGACTAGGCCAGCCAGGTTCCCCTACAGAGAAAACCTCTACAAGTTTCACCATTTAAAAATGTCACGTAGGTTTTAGTGTATACTTTTGAAGAGTTTCCTACTATTTCTAGTTAAGTTTTTAACAGCTTTATTAAGATATAATTTACATGTCATAAAATTCACTCATCTTAAGCTTACAATTAAGTGATTTTTTAGTGGAGTTGTGCAATCATCAAAACAATCCAATTTTAGAACATTTTCTTCATTCTAAAAACCCTACCCTGTCCGTTAGCAGTCACTTCCTATTCCTACTCCAAGTTGCAGGGAACCACTAGCCTACTTCTGTCTCTGTAGATCTGCTAATTGTGGACATTTAATAGTAATAGAATGATATAATAAGTGGTCTTTTGGTTTGGCTTTTTTTACTTAGCATAATTTTTTTGAGGTTCATCCATGATGTAGCACATCAGTACTCTGTTCCTTTTCATTACCAAATAGTATTCTACTATATAGATATACTACATTTTGTTTACTCACTTACCAGTTGATAGATATTTGTATTTGTTCCATATGGGGGATATTATGAATAATACTGTTATAAGCATTCATGGACAAATCTTTGTGCGGTGATATGTGTTTGTTTCCCTTGGGTACATACTTAGGAGTGCAATGGCTGGTCAGATGATAACTCTATGTTTAACATTTTAAGAAACTACCAAACTGCTTTATAAAGTGGTTGAACCATTTTACATCCCTACCAGCAATCTACGAGGATCCAGTTTCTCCACGTTCTTACCAATACTTGTTATTGTCTTTTTCAATGAAAGCCATCTTAGTGGATGTGAAATGATTTCTCATTTTGGTTGACTTGCATTTTCCTTACGACTAATGATGCTGAACATCTTTTCACATACTTATTAATCATCTGTATATCTTCCTTGGTGAAATGTCTACGTAGATATTTTGCCGATTTTTAAATTGGGTTATTGTGTACATAGAAGTTACAAGAGTTTTTTATATATTCTGGGCACACATCCTTTATCAGATATATATTCTCTCCCATACTATAGTCTTTCTTTTCACTTTCTTAATGGTGTCATTTGATACACAAAAGTTTTTAATTTTAATGAAGTCCATTTTATCAATTTGTTAAATCACTCATACTTTGGTTTGCAAGAAGATTTGCTCCCAAGTTTTCTCCTCTGAGATACATGATTGTAGCTCTTATATTCAGGTTGAAATCCATTTTGAATTGCTTTTTTTTAATGTAAGATAAGGGTCTAAATTCATCTCTTTGCATCTGGATATCCAGTTGCACAGACATCATTTTTTGAAAAGTCTATCCTTTCCTGAACCACTGAATTACCTTGATACCTTTGTTGAAAATCAGCTCATCATAAATGCAATGGTTTATTTCTGGATTCTCAATTCTGTTCCTCATTTATATGCCTGTCCCATGCCAGTAAACACCTTGTCTTGATTACTATGGCTTTGTAGTAAGTTCTGAAATTGAGAAATGTGAGAGTCTTCCAATTTTGTTCTTTTCAAGGTTGTTTTGGCTATTCTGGGTCATTTGTATTTCCATATAAATTTTAGAATCAGTTTGACAATCTGTCCAAAAAAGGCAGCTGGAATCTTGACAGGGATTGCATTGAATATGATATAGTACATTAATTGATTTTTGGATATTAAACCAACCCTGTTTTCCTGGGATAAATTCTACTCAGTTGTGACATATAATCCTTTATACATGATACTATGTTTGATTTGCTAATATTTTGTTGAGGATTTTTCTATTTTCTTCTTTTTGTTTTTGAGGAATATTGGTCTGTAGTTTATTATTCTCATGATGTTTGTGTGGTTTGGTATCAGAGTACTAATACCAGCCTCATAAAATGAGTTGGGAAGTATTCTCTCCTCCTCTATTTTCTCCAAGTTTGTGAAAGACTGGTATTATTTATTCTATAAATGTTTGGTAAAATTCACCAGTGGAGACTTTTGGGACTGGGCTTTCCATTGTGGAAAGATTTTTAAAGTACCACTTCAATTTTTAGCTTGCTTTAGGTCTGTAGGTCTATAGATTTTCTATTTGTTTTTGAGTCAATTTAAATAATTTGGGACTCTCTAGGTATTTAAGTTGTCTAATTTGTTGCCATAAAGTTGTTCATTGTATCACTTTATAATCCTTTCAATCTCTGTAAGACTGGTAAAAATGGGGGCTCTTGGGTGGCTCAGTTGATTAAGGGTCAGACTTTGGCTTAGGTCACAGTCTCACGGCTTGTGAGTTCAAGCCCCCCTTTAGGGCTCTGTGCTGACAGCTCAGAGCCTGGAGCCTGCTTCAGATTCTGTGTCTCCTTCTCTCTCTGCCCCTCCCCTGCTCACTCACTCTTGCTCTCACTCTCTCTCTCTCTCTCTCAAAAATAAACATTAAAAAAAAATATTTTTTAAAGACTGGTAATAATGTCCCCTCTTTGTTTTTAATTATGAACGAATGTTGAATTTGATTCCTTGATGAAAACAATCATATGGACTTTTGGTTTAACCTGTTAATGTGATAAATTAATAGAATTTTAATATAACTTCTATTGATAGATTTAAGATTGTAAGTAATCTACACCCAACGTGGGGCTGGAACTCATGACCCCAAGATCAAGAGTCACATGCTCTATTAAGTCAGCCAGGCGCCCTGGATATATCTTTTGATGCCTTGAACAAACCAAACTTGGCCATGATATTTTGATTAATAACTTACAGGATTCAGTTTCCTTTTGTTTAGAATATTTGCATCTACATTCACATTGCAGACTGACCTTTCAATTTTTTTCTTCTAATATTATCTTTGTTGGGTTTAGGTATTAAGGTCACTCTAACTTTATACATGAGGTAAGGAGAATTCCCCCTTTTTCTGGAATTTGAACAACTTAATAAAATTGAAGTGTTCTGTTTCCTATATAATCTGGTAGAAGTCACCTGTAAAACTGACAGGCCTGCTGTTTTATTAAATTTTAATTGATACTTTCTATTTCTTTAATGGCTATAGCAGAGGCAATATTCAGAATATTTAAATAACCAGCAATGCAAAAAACTAGCCAGTGAGAATTGATGTGGTTGGCAGTGTTGGAACTGGGTCTGGGAATTACTTTACTGTAATATCCTAAAACTCCCATCAGCAAAGGGTACCTCTCAGCAGTCTGTAAACCAGGGTCTGACTCTTGGCTTATATTTTACTGTCTTAATGACAGTCATGTGGGCAAGTTACCCAACGTCTCTGACTTTGTGGTTTCCTTAGCTTTAAAATGGGATAGTAATAGTTATCTAACTCATGAGGCTGTTCTCAGAATTAAATGAGATGCTGAACAACCCCCACCCCAAAGGGGGAGAGGTGTTTTAAGGGGGACTTTAGCTACTAGATCATAGAGAGATCTTGAAGGAAGTGTCCCCAAAAGGGCCTGGGTAACCAGAAGGTGACAGGATTTGACCACCTGGGGATGATTCAGGATAGTGGCTATTTATCATTTAATACAGAAGAAGTTTAATATTTTAACAACTACTTCAGATAAATCAGTACATATTGGTTAAATAATCAGTCCAGGTGATAGGTCTATTTCAGGTTTTCTATTTCTCTTGATCAGTTTTGCTAAGGATTTTGAGTAAACTGTCTACTTCATCAAAGTTTTCAAGTATACTGGCATAAAGGTGAACTTATTATCTTATTGTATACTTTTTATTGTCTCCTTTTTTTATGGTTAAGATTATCTTTTGTCTGATTTCTCTTAACGAATCTTACCAGATAATTGCAATTTCAATTGGCTTTTTCAAAACACAGGCTTTAATTTCTTTTATCATTTCCATAATCTACTTTAATTGGGTTTACTTTTTAATCTTTTCCCAGTTGTTTTTAAAATTTTTTTTAATGTTTATTTATTTTTGAGACAGACAGAGCATGAAGGGGGAGGGTCAGAGAGAGAGAGAGACACAGAATCCAAAGCAGGCTCCAGGCTCTGAGCTGTCAGCACAGAGCCCGACGCGGGTCTCGAACTCACAAAACGTGAGATCGTGACCTGAGCCGAAGTCAGAGGCTCGACCGATTGAGCCACCCAGGTGCCCTTCAGTTTTTTTGATAAAATGCTTAGTTCACTAATTTTTAGTTTACTGATTTCACTAATAATTTCTTCTTCAATCCATGAATTATTTAGGAAATGAGTTTATAAACCCAAATATGGGAATTTATAGTTACCTCTGTTAATTAAACTATACTGAGGTCAGGGAAAATCATTTGTGTGATAACAAATCTCTGATACTGGTTGAAACTTACTTTGTAGTCGGGTACATGCTCTCCTTTTGTACATATTCTGAGTTTGCTTCAGAGGATGTATTCACTATGTGTTGGGAGAATTCTAAATATGCCTAATAAACCAAGTTTATTAACAGTAAAATCTCCTATGGTCTTTTTAACTTTTTGGCCTATTTTATCTATTAGTAAATGAGAGAATGGCTTAATATTTTCCACTGATACGGAAAATATTTTTTTTTATAATCTGTCCATTTTTGCTTTTTATGGTTTGAAGCTATGTTTATTAGATACATATAAGAATTTTATATTCCAGTGAAATAAACCTTTTAATTAATATAGTACCTTTTTCATCACTAATTATGCTTTATGCCCTAAACTCTCTTTTGTCTGCTATCAATGGAGATGTAACTGTTTTTCTTTGATTTGAATTTGCCTGTTATTTTTTCCCCATTCTTTTACTTTCAGATTTTTTCATTGGTATGTTTTAGGTGTGTCCCTTACAAAGAACATATAGTTTGGTTTTCTTTTTTAATCCAATCTAACCCCATCTGTCTTTTAAATGGCTACTTTAGTCCATATATATTTATTGCAATTATTGATATTTGGATTATCTGCCTACCATATTTTTGTGCTTCATGATTTACCTGTATTTTTTTAATGATTTCCCCTCCCTTCTCTGCCTCTATTGGATTGATCATGTTTTAATAGCTTTTGTCCACTAATTTAGAAGTTACCATTCATATTCCTATTCAAGTTTTATTTCTAAATTTAAAAAATAAATTTTAACAGTTATTTGTGTCTCAAAGATAATCTATATATCCTTTGCTGAAACAGTATGCATAGTTACAAATCTTTAAAAATATCCCATCTTGGGGCACCTGGGTGGCTCAGTCAGTTATGTGTCCAACTTCAACTTAGGTCATGATCTTGCTGTTTCTGAGTTGGAGCCCCATGTCAGGCTCTGTGCTGACAGCTCAGAGCCGGGAGCCTGTTTCAGATTCTGTGTCTCCCTCTCTCTCTGCCCCACCCCTTCTTGTGCACTCTCGCTTGCTCTCTCTCAAAAATAAACATTAAAAAAAATATATCCCCTGTCTTTTTACATATGACCTCTGAAAAGAATATTTCAGAAATGGTCCTGTATATCACTGTATTGTCATTTCACCACAGCTAGCAACAGGTATATTTAAAAATTTTTTTTTAATGTTTATTTTTTGAGAGACAGACAGAGCATGAGCAGGGGAGGAGCAGAAAGAGAGGGAGACACAGAATCAGAAGCAGGCTCCAGGCTCCGAGCTGTCAGCACAGAGCTGGATGTGGGGCCTGAATTCATGAACTGTGAGATCATGACCCAAGCCGAAGTCGGGTGCTTAACCAAATGAGCCACCCAGGTGCCCCAGCAATAGGTATATTCTAATCATTTCTCAAATTTCAACTCTTTAAATGGTCAATTTCTCTATAAGGAGACATTGAAGTATTTCACAACAGAGGCATTACTGACACTGTAGATTATTAGTTGACTGTGTAAACTGTCCCATGCAGGATGTTTAGAAACTCAGATCCCTGCTGATTAAACGCCAGTAGAAATCCTCTCTTCTCCCATATTAACAACTAAAACTGCATGATACATTTACTTCCAAACATCCCCCTATGGATCGGTACCACTCCAAATGAGAAAGTACTCTTTGATGCATGAAAAACAAGTACAAAAGTTACAAAATAAATAGATTTAGAATCAAAGGACCAAAGAATGAAAAACATTTCTGTTCCATAGAGAAAATAGTATTTTTCCTTAAAGTCCTTAAATTTAGGAAACTCAACTTGTAAACCAGTTTTCATCATTAACTATACTACTTGGTCTCCTTTCCATATAATTTTCTCCAAATTTTTTACTTGCAATATATGACTAAGTGCAAGTAACAAAAGATGGAATCATTTTTTTTATTGTTTTTCCCAAAGGCAGGTTCTTCCTCCTTAAAGATACAGAAAAGCTAAGACAAATCTCTGAATTTAGTTACCATCTTAAACAAATTTTTTGTTCACAATCCTAACATGGTCTCCCATTCACAAACCTGTTGGTGTCCCAAATAATGACATTTCCATCAAATCCTGATGTTACTAAGAGTCTTGTATTAGTATCATATTCGATGTTCTTCACCCAGCTAGTGTGACCATGTAAAGTGCATACTTTGGTGTTCAATTTTCTCAGATCCCACAGTGCTATTGTAGTGTCATCAGAGCAGGTAGCAAACAGCCGGTTATCAAGAAATCTACAAAGCAGAAAAGAAAAACTGGTTTATTTAATCTCTTGTTAAAGAAAATTTGAGAAATAGTCTCTATATTACCTAATCAAGAAAACAAAAAAGGACTACAAACTTACTGTATAAACCCAGTGATTCTGATATACAATAAACAGTAAGTAGAATTCATATGATCACAAGGAAAGATACTATGACTTAATGAGGACCACAATGCAACTTTATCCATTTGCTTTGTATTATTGATTTTTATTTGGAAATGGAAATAGGGGTGGGTATTTGGAGAACAGTGCTAAAGAGCAAGAACTTTAGAATCTGTATAATAGGAAACACAAATGGTGAGAGACAATAGGAGACAGAGATTTTAAAGACTTGATTGCAGAGCGAGATATGTTAAGCTGTAAAGGTTCATAATTGTAACAAATATTTACTCTGCTACAAGTAATGTCTTCCTGTTTAGAAGACATTTACATACAAAAATTTCTGTTAAAATGCCATGTTTGTAATCTATTAATTCAAAGAAAGGCATTCCCCAAATAATCATACTTAGCAACATTAGAACCAGTTAAGATTACAGGGTAGATAATTAAAATACAAAGTGCCAGGTACATAACAAGCACTTACAAATATTTATTATTAGTGATTGAGATAGGAGTTCACTTTCAAGTTCATAATTCAAACTTTTTATTATTTTACACTGACTTCTCAATCCTTAGAATATATTTTATACAAATACTTAAAAAATAACAAATCTACCAATCACCCTTGAATTTCTGCCTAATTCAACATTAGGATGCCCTAGCTATGCTGTTACATAAAATTCCCTAATGTCTTACAGAAATAAGAAATGAATTCTGGAGCTTCTTTCAAGATAAAATTATACGTAATTATTTTTTATCAGAAATCAACCCCAGTAACCACAAATATCATAACGACCTTCCTAAAATTTAACATGGTTTTAAAATTCCAGAATTTTGTACAAGCTGTGTCTACTACTTGAAACCACCTTCCTCCTACCCCTTGACCTGGCTAACGCTTGCTTTCTTTTTATTTGGCTAATTCCTCCAGGAAGACTTATCTCACTATCCAGCCTGGGGTAGATTCACCAATCTTCTAATCTCCCAAAGTACTCTATAAGTCTATCATAACATTTAATATTACAGTGTAAGGAATAATTTCATAAGGCTATAAATTCCTTGAAGGCAGGGGAACTGTCTGCACAGTTCATTGTTAGATCTGTAGTACCCAACACACAAAGTGCCAGGTACATAACAAGCACTTACAAATATTTATTATTAGTGATTGAGATAGGAGTTCACTGCCTAGTGGAGAAGAAATTATAAATAATTATACAAAATAATTGTGTGGAATAAGCAAAGAAAAGGGTAGTTAGGAAAGACCTCCTGGTAGTGTCATTTGAACCAACTTTAAAAGATGAGCAGGCAGGGGCACCTGGGTGGCTCAGTCTGTTAAGTGGCTGACTCTTGATTTTGGCTCAGATCAGATCTTATGGTTCCTACAATCAAGCCCCACACTGGATTCCCCCCCCCTTTCTGCCTCTCCCTCATTCATGTTCTCTTTCTCAAAGATAAAATAAATAAACAAATAACATGAGCAGACACTCCCTAAGTGGCCAAAGGGGTAAGCAAAAGTAAAGAGGCATGTGGAGGGATGGTATACTCTGAGAGGCAACGGCAGTTAGAGTGTTGTGTGCGGCAAAGTAGATATAAATAGAGAATATATCATGGATTTATTCTATAGCGATTCCCAATATTTTTATATTATGCATACATGCCTGTTGGAAATATCTTTTTAAATGGAAAAAGTCCACCATAAAAATAACTACAGTTATTGATATGTAGCCTAATTCTTATATTGCAAGCCTAATATCATAATTATTTTGCCATGTTATTAAAGATTGACAAAATCTTTTTTTTTTTTAATGTTTATGTATTTTGAAAGAGAGAGAGAGAGAGAGAGACAGCAAGCAGAGGAGGGGCAGAGAGAGGGAGAGAGACAATTCTAAGCAAGCTCCACGCTGTCAGCACAGAGCCCAACATGGGGCCCAATCCCACAAACCACGAAATCACGACTAGAGCCGAAATCAAGAGTCCGACACTCAACCAACTGAGCCACCCAGGCAGCCCAACAAAATCATTCTTAATGGCTGAATAGATTCACTGTATGAATGAACCATAATATTTTTTTTATAAATGATACATCATCCTTGGTTTTATTTATTTTTAAATATTTATTTATTTTGAGAGAGTGAAAGGGTGAGCAGCAGAGGGGGAGACAGAGAGAAAGAGAGAGAATCCCAAAGCAGGCTCTGCACTGTTATTGCAGAGACCACTGTGGGGCTCAATCTCATGAACCGTGAGATCATGACTTAAGCTGAACCGATGGACCCACCAGCACCCCCCCCCCACCGTTTTCTTTCTTAAAAACTAATAGGGGCACCTGGGTGGCTCATCGGTTAAGCATCCCACTTAAGGGCTCAGGTGATGATCTTGCAGTTCGTAGTTCAAGCCCCACATCAGGCTCTGTGCTGACAGCTCAGAGCCTGGAGCCTGCTTCTGATTCTTACTCTCTCTGCCCCTCCCCGACTTGTGCTCTTTCTCTCTCTCTCAAAAAAAATAAACCTTAAAATTTTTTTTTTAAAACAAGCAACTGTTGAATGTTTACATTGCTTCCAGTTTTTTCCATCTATTCAGTGATGAACATCCCAACAGCTGAATATTAATCACATCCTTATTTTTCTAAGTACATTCCCAGAAGTTTTATTGTTAAATAAAAAAGGATTTTAAAAAATATAAGGCTTTTTTGATACACACAGCCAAACTGTAGTTCCACCAGCAGTCAGGGGTATCCATTTCTCTAATTTTTTAATTCTCTTAAATGCCAGGAAAAAAAAAAAAATCTAAATTGAAACTTTTATTTTTAGTAAAGTAGAACATTTTTCATACTAATTGGAAGATTATATTTCTCCTGTGAATTGCTATTCATGTTCCTTGCTGATTTTCCTATTGCTGTATTATTTTTATTACCAAGTTATAAATTCTCTATAGTAACGATAATATAGCTCAGTTTTTCAAAGATAGTATGTTGAATATTTTTTGCACATATACTTCTTTGAATTTCATAGCATTTTAATTTTTTTAAGTAGGCTCTATGCCCAACATGACCCTGAGATCAAGAGTTGCACAGTCTACCAACTGAGTCAGCCAGGTGCCCCGCCACATATGCATCTGTCCTTCTATGTGATTTATGTATTTTCTTATTATATCAAAATTTTAGTGATTATATTATCAAGTTCATTTTTCTCCTATGGTTTTATCTTTACTGATTAGGCTTTTTAAAATAAAAATATTTTAATGACTTCCTGACAGTAATTATATGATTGAAAAACATACACAATGACAAAAGGCTAATGGAGAATCAAACTTTTAAAATAAATTGATCATCAACATAGAGCATCTTCATACATTTAAAAAATTTACAGGATGGGGCACCTGGCTGGCTAAGTTGGTTGAAGCATCTGACTCTTGCTTTCAGCTGGGGTCATGATCTCACAATTCATGGGTTTGAGCCCCACATCGATCTCTGCACTAACAGTGAGGGGCCTGCTTTGAGATTCTCTCTCTCCTCCTCTCTGTGCCTCTCCCCCACTTGCACTCTATTTCTCTCTCAAAATAAATAAATAAAAACTTAAAAATATAAATAAGAAATTTAGGGGAAAGATTTTATTTTATTTAGTCTACAGAAAATACTTAAAGTACATATGGATTCAAAACTCCAGTGGGATTATACTGCCCAGTGGTCCACCCTGAAGGGTTTTGGCAAGAGAATGACACGATTAGAGAAGAGTTTCAGAAAGATCTCTGAGGTGGCCAAGTTTTCAAAACTTTTGTATTTTCATAAAAAATAAAGTGGGGGATCAGCTTTAAAATTTTTATCATAAGGCCACTGAAAAATTAGGCCACTGAAAAATTACCAATGTTGCATGAAAGATACTTTAATACCAATGATGTACAAAGAATATTATCTTGGAACAAAAGCTAACAATTTGAATTGAACAAATTTACCTTGATGAAAAATTCAACACTTTGAATTTAGGTTTCTCATTTTGCCTCAAAGTTTTACCTGTTAAAAAATCTTGATATTGAAGAATCATTGGTGAAGAGAATAAATTACAGAAAATTAAGAATGTAGATTAGGAGACCAGTTAAAGTACCCATAATTCTTATCCTAAAGGAAGCAGATGCAGAGAATGTAAAGTAGTAGACAAACCCTTGGAAATCTGGCTCAAACTTCTCAAATTAAAACTGTCTAGCCTAATAAGTTAATAAATATATTTTTTAACTTCATAGTCCCTAATAAGCAGGAGACACTCCACACACTGAAACCTATGAATTTATGAATTATAAAACTGCCCCATATGTCCCCATCAGACACCAACATATGACTATAACAGTTCTGGATAAACTGACATTTGGATAAACTGAGGTTTTCATTATCAGAGGTTAATTGGTAAAGGATAAGAGCAACTGAAATAGAATTTTCTTAAAACAGGTACCAACATTTCATTGTACGCAGGAAAGAAAGTATTGTCTAAAAACCAAAAATCATAAAAATGTTTAATATTTATTTTACATTTATTTAACTATGTGTAAATTCTTAGAATAAGAATAAGTTAAATGTTTGGGGTTTTTCTTGCATAATCTTTCCAATGAAATTATGACAGCAAAATATGATACCCTTCCTTAATATTTGAGTTTTATCCTATAAAAAGAGAATCATTTCTATATAAAAATCAATGGCTTTATCCATTTTCTCAAGGGCCTTTCTTTAGTCCCATGAGATATTCACATAATTCTCTGAAGTATCTACCAAGTCATCATTTCTGTCATTTCCTTTTCTTTAATTGATAACTAGTCTACCTCTATCAGATCCTCATCTGCTAATGATTTTATACGTAATTGATCAGTTTTCTAATATCAGTCTTAGGGTTT